ACGTGGCGCTCTGAGGCGTTTCTTGATGCTCACCGACTTCCCTGCCTGGACGGTGGAAAAGTTGGTCCGGGCTGAACAAGCTCGCAGAGAGCCACGGTGGGGTCCGGCCAGCGCGCTTCCGGCGTCGAGCTGTCGGGGTAGCTCGTCACCCGAGCAGATTCTGTGCAAATGCTGAGGAGAAAAGTGCCCCTCAGATGAGCGTGGGCGGCGACCGGTCTCTCCCGAAGGCGATGGCAGGGACCAAGACAAGCCGGGCTTGGTGGCTAGCTGCAAACTGAGAAAAGCAGGCTGAGGGCTGCCAGGCGGGATGGACCCCTGTGGAGACCCGGCAAAGCCCGGCGGCGACTGTCCCCACAGCAGGGGACAGGGGCTCCAGGGGGCGGCTGGCCAGGAGGGTCCGCTGCTGGGCACTTCCGTGGACAGCAGCCACAGGTGACCGACGGACGCTAGGAAGCCTGCCGACCACTCACTCCAGTTTACTGCCCCTTCCCTGGCTGGGAAAGCTAGACCGACAACTTTTTGACTCCGGGGGCGGGGTGGGGCGGGAGGCGACATGAAAGGGAACTTTAGACAGTGAGAACTGATGGGAGGAGGGTGTTGTTAGATAAATTAGAGGAGTATGGAAAGAAAGGGGAAAGCGGGTAAAGAACCTGATGGAGTTAGGGTTGAAAAGAGACTGAAAGTGTAAACTGTACCCTGCCTGGAAGAGAAAGGGCATTAACCCCGCGACCTGAGTGAGTTACGCACCCAAACACCCCACAAAATCAGGTATTTCCTGAGTGTCCTCATTACCACTTGTGTGTGTGTGTGTGTTTTTTCTACTCAGTGAACATGAAGACAGAAACAGAATGTCTGAAGAACTTTTAAAGGTTGTCCAGGAAATGAAAAAGTCTTTTCCAGCCGAGAGACACACTAAACCCAGCACCCTAGATGCCCTTAACTATGCCCTGCGCTGCGTACTTAGTGTGCAAGGTAACTGAGTCGTGGAGAGTAGGGTGGCGCTGGCCCAGTACTCAGGTACAGTGGGATTGTCAAGAGGCTTGAGCTTCTTTGTGGCCAGGACAAGCTGGTCTAACTGATTGAAAGTGGTGTTCTGGGCTTTCCAAAGCCAGGAGAATGGGATTTGTCTGATAGTTGAGCCACTGTGCAATCTTTTGCACATCTGTTACAAGAGTAGAGCTTAGCAGTTTTAAGTAAAACTTGATTTTTTTTTTTCCAAGGAGCATTGCCTTCCCTGGAGGTTACAAGAGAAAATGCATGTGTATTTTCCTGCCAAACACAGTTAACAGAATATAAAAAATTGACTAAATTAAAGGATAAATGCTTTTCCTTTCCTACTGTCCTCCTCAGGTATTCTATAAAGTTGTGAATTTATTACAAACCTCCTTGCTCCACCTGTGATAAGTGGGTAGTCTATGCATGCTAATGTTTCCTCTGTAAAAGTGTGTGTGTGTTCTTAATTTCTTTAACTAGCTTTAGAACTTTAAATGAATCATGCTCCTTGTTACTTAAAACATGTAGGATTCATAAAATCCATAGTCTTAAGTTTACATAACTAACCATATTTTTGATGGCTTTGAGGAAGACACATTTATCCTTATCTGAGAAAGTAACCAGCTTGATAGTGCTATAACATGACTTCCTAGAGATGCTGTGGTCACTGGCTTACCTGTTTATTTCCCTGTGTTTCTTAGCAAACAGTGGATTTTTCCCCAGTCTCGGCCCACATGGAGCACCTCAGACAGATGTGACAGCATACAGTCCTGAGGAGCTGGCGTCGATTACTTCTGAACTTGCTTCCAAGAACACAGTAAGATTTCATGAGTGTTGCCTACGCTAGGGTGACTTCTAAGGACTTTCTGTAGGTGTTAGAAAAGTCACTGAGAGCTTTCCTTGCTGAGATAAACAAAGGTGAAACTGCTGAAAAGGCACTGTGTGTTCTCTCCCATGGCAGAGGGAGTGTCTGAAGGTAGACCCGAAGCTTATGCTCTAGCATAGTCTTATGTGCCTAGCTGTCAGGTACTTGCTTCCCCTCAGCATCCCACGTTCTCTTGATTATAAATAAATAAATAAATAAATAAATAAATAAATAGTAGCAAACAGAACATGGCAGAGTAATTTCTGGCATCTTATTCTAATCTCCAAATTGTTACTTTTTATTTATATCATTCTTAGTTCCAATACCTACTTCCTCAAGTTGTAACAGCTGGATTTGTAGAACAGGTGAGTTGAGATGTCATTTTTATGGTGAACTTTTGGAAGAGACCTTTAGTATATATACATATACATATGTATTTTTTTAATCTCTTCTTGGTGGCTGAGTAATTAAACCTCATATTTTATTAATGGTAGAAACTCCTTAATTAGATGTTTAGACTTCAGCATCCCTTTAACATAATGTTTTTATAGTATTACAACAGGGGTTTGTAGAGTTACATAATAGGGCTTATTCTACTAATGTACACAGTGCTGTAGTGGGTGTTTAAGACAAACAAGTTTTAAGAAAACATTCACCCTCTAAAATCTTTACAGTAAGTCTAGACAGGGAAACAGGTCCATGTATCAAGCACAATGACTGATTATAAATGATGTTAGTGACTATAAAACAGATCAGAGGTGCAGTTCTTACGTAACGAGGTCTGTGGAGGACAGCTTGTGAAGGAGGCAGATCTTGAGCTCAGTCTTTAAACACAGACTCTTCATTACTGACGAGGAGATAGTCCCTCCTGGTAGAGAGCACAGTTTGCAAAAGAGAAAAGTTTGCCACACATATATATTTAGTCTGTAGAGAAGCTGTTGTGGGCTTTTGGCATAGAGATGAAGCTTCCAGGAAGCATGGTGTCATTTTTATATGTTAAGAAGCACGCTGAAGAAAAATATTTAGGAAGCTTCTTCTTTACAAGGTGTGTGTGTGTGTGTCTCTGTCTGTGCGCGAGTGTGCGTGTGCGTGCAGGCATTCGTTCATTCGTGCGCTCATTTTTAAGCCTTGGGTTGTGGTAGAAATCCAGAAGAAATTGACTTTTCAGAGAATATTGTTTGTAAGTTCCTCAAATTTTGTCTTAAATATTTTTCATAGGATACCTTTGTGGCAGTGTTTTCATTTCTGTCTGGAAGGTTGGTGCACATTTCTGAACAGGCTGCTTTGATCCTGAATTCTAAGAAAGATACCTTGGAGTCCTCGCACTTTGTTGATTTGCTTGCCCCTCAAGACGTGAGTGTGTTCTACACACACACTGCTCCAACTCAGCTTCCTTTCTGGAACAACTGGACCCAAAGAGGTAATGAGACCAATGTTAGGTTGGGTCCAGGAGCTGGTCATTCCTACAGAAACAATACAGACATGACGTGCTATTTACAGCATGCAGATCATGTCGTTGTCCTTAATTTGTGTATTTGCTTATTTTATCTTTTTGAGTCAGGGTTTCCCTATGTAGCCAGGGCTGTCCTGGAACTCGCTTTGTAGCCCAGACTGGCCTCAAACTCAGGGATCCCTGTCTCTACATCTGAGTGATGGGATTAAAAGCATGTTCCATAACAGGCTTTATTCTTCTTTTTTAAAAGAGCACAATAAAATGGTATTTTTATCGCTTAATAGCATGTCAAACCAATACATTTTTTCACTTACTGAAATTTCACAGGTTTTATATGAAAAATAGCTTTGATTACCAGCGAACTTCAAAGTGGTTGATTGCTATACAGGCACTCTTCCCTTATGAATTAATACAACCTATTTCTTCCTGTGTTGACTTCATGATCTGTTTGTATAATAGCTTTGACGTTATAGATAAGATTCTGATAGCTCCTAATTCACTTTTTCCAGTCCTAAAAGTTCACAGATCCCATCACTTTGTTTCTGTATGAAATGCTTGTTTATCTGAACCAGATATGCAAAGTTTCACAATTTTCTTTGTGGCATTCAGTCTTGTGTGATTTTCCTTTTAAAGTCACTCCATATTCCTTATATTCTTTGGGAACCATATCTTAAAGAACTCAGTATACACTATATATCTATATCTATACCTATATCTATATATCTATAGATATATATCAGCCTTTTTTAATTTCAATTCCTTCTCTCTAATAAGATTTTTATTTATGTATGTATTTATGTATTTATTTTTGTGACCCAGATGTCTTAGATAGGGTTTCTATTGCTTCAACAGAACACCATAACCTTTAAAAAGCAAGCTGGGGCTGGGCGGTGGTGGCACACGCCTTTAATCCCAGCACTCGGGAGGCAGAGGCAGGCGGATCTCTGTGAGTTCGAGACCAGCCTGGTCTACAAGAGCTAGTTCTAGGACAGCCTCCAAAGCCACAGAGAAACCCTGTCTTGAAAAACCAAAAAGAAAAAAGAAAAAAAAAAAAAGCAAGCTGGGGAGGAAAGGTTTTATTTGACTTTTACTTCCAGATCATAGCCCATCATTTCGAGGAAGTCAGGACAGGAACTCAAGCAGGGCGGAACCCGGAGGCAGGAGCTGATGCAGAGGCCGTGGAGGGAGGGCTGCTTACTGGCTTGTCTCTCCAGGCTTGCTCAGTCTGCTTTCTTACAGAACCCAAGACCACTATCCCAGGGATGGAACCACCCACCATGGGCTGGGCCCTCTCTCATTGATCGATAGTTGAGAAAATGTCTTACAGCTGGATCTCGTCTAGGCATTTCCTCAGCTAAGGCTCCTTCGTCTCTGATGACTCTAGCTTGTGTCAGGTTGACACACAAAACCAGTCAGTACACCAGGCTATTCAAAAACTTGCTGTATAGCCAAAAATGGCCTTAAAACTATGATCTTCCTGCCTCTACCTCCAAGTGATGGGATTACAGGCTACACCACCAGGCCAAGCTGGGGATGGAACCAAGCGTGCAGGCTAGGAAAGCATTTCCTGACTGAAACTAGCATCACTTTCATCTAATTTTGTTTCAAAAGATTTTAAATTTCATTGTGTGTAGGTGTTTAGCCTGCTTGTGTGTCTGTGCACCATGTGGATTTCAGTGCCCATGAAAGCCATAAAGGGGCATTAGAGTCCCTAGAATTGGAGTTAGGGACAGTTGTTAGCTCTCATCATGTGGGTGCAGGGAATTCCATCTGGGTCCTCTAGAAGATCAGCCAGTGTCTTAACCACTGAGATATCCCCCTAGTGCCCCTTTTCTCTAATTAAAACAAAAAAGAAAAAAAAAACATTCTTTTTATTTGGAAAACAGGTGAGCATGATAGTTAATCCCAGCATTCTGGATGCTGAGGCAGGATGCAACTTGAAAATCATTGTGGTCTACATAGTGAGAAATCCTAAAAAAGTGTAGCACAATATTTGCCATTTCTAGGGCTGGAGAGATTGCTCAGTGATTTAAGAGCACTGGCTGCTCTTTCAGAGGTCCTGAGTTCAATTCCCAGCAACCACATGGTGGCTCACAACCATCTATAATGAGGCCTGGTGCCCTCTTCTGGTCTTCGGGGATACATGCAGACAGAACACTGTATAAATAAATAAATTTAAATTTTAAAAAATTCATTAAAACAAAAAAGATTTGCTATTTCTAATCATTTTTAAGTTCAGGGTCTAATAGTATGGAATATGTTTACATTCTAGTGAATCAGACTGCTACAGCTTTTTGACCTTTCAGCCTCTACTCTTTTGATTTTTTAAATTGAATAGTCTCTTACATTTGCTAGCTCCATTATCTTTGTTTTCCCATCCTAAAATTATTGGTATTGTTCATCTTCCTTTCCTAAATACACATTTTCAGCCTTTAGTTGTCTTGTGTCGGTCTTTCTGCTTCCATTAGTCGCACATTGTAAGAACATTCAACACTTGTGGCCAGTGGTCTGTTCTAGATTTGGCTAGAACTGTTTTAGATGTTGGGACACCAGACATATTGCCAGCTCTTCCCATTTTGTTTTATTTTTGTCTTTTGTTTTTTTTTTTTTTTTCCTTCAACAGTGCTTGTACCATGTCTTCAGCCTTTTTAATCTTTTCTGGTTTATCTTTGCTGTGATATTTTCATCCCACCTAAAACTTTAGCATACCCTGAAATCATGGCTTCTGCCACGCACACCTGATGTGCATCTAGTTTACTGCAAATAGTACACTTCTGCTATCTAAATCTCCTGTTCAAGCTTCAGCTGAGAACAGAAAGTCAGCTCTGTGCCCGTTCTGAGCTGTGGCCAAGTTACTGTTTCAGTCTCCTCCTTTGAGCGGACATGGAATGCTATATACCCTGCTGTCAGTTTTGTCACATTTTAGAACACACTCGACTTATGTTGGTTGTATAGACTCTCAGAAGGACCGGATGGTTAAGAGCTCATTTGCAAAAGTAAGGACTCAAGTTCAGCTTGTCAAGCACCTTATGGGTTTGTGTGCACTGAGATCAGTGTCTGACTCATGGCTCTGTAGTGGCTTGTGAATGTAGAAGCCTGGTGTGATGTGTAAATGGTGTGAGTGAAAGGCAGGTTTCTGATTCTTCCTATGACGTGAGACGTGGCCTCTTCAGGGTTTTGAATCTGTGGGATTCTCACTAGTTGTGTTAATGTGTGAATTTTAGCAGTTTTTCGTGGTTCTGTAACTTAGGTCTTTTCACTTAATCAAAACATTTGGGCAAAGGTTCTACCTCCTCATTTGACTCTAAAATACATTTCCTTCTGTGTTGTCACCATGAATTTCAGGAAAGATGATGAAAACCATTGGCACAAGGAAGAGAAAACATAAGCGCTGCTGCAAATCAGTCTAGTCCTCTAGAGATGACTTTAGAAGTACATGAGAGTCACAGGAGGGTCATGCATGTAACATAGAACACAGCTTGTAGATTTCCCCAAGGATGGAACTAAAGCGAGGAAAACAATCACATTTATACTTCAGAGAACTGAAATCTGAAAATACCCCAGATCTCCCCAAGCTATCACAGTGGACCAGACTGTTAACCCCGAAATAATTGTCATCAGATCATCACAGTGACATTAGAAATAGTGTGTGTGCTTAGCTGGAGAGTGCCGGAAAGACCGAGGGCTTAGATGAAGGAAAGCTTAGAGTCTCACACAGATGAGAGGAGAACATATCTTTCAGAAGTGCTTGAGTGGTGTGGCAGGATGGCCTCACAGAGGAGCTGCCCTGACAGAGACACAATGACCGTGTTTCTTTCTTTCCAGCTTCACAGTGTGAATATGCACCAGTGAAATCCTTTTTCTGCAGAATCTGGTAAGTAAAGGATATGGAGGCCTAAAATGTGGCTCTCTCATCTCTACTCAACCCTTGTGGTGATTCTTCTGTATTCAGCTAGAGTATGTAATGGGTACAACAAAATGAGATCTAAACAAACCAAAAACTTTGATTCTTGCTGTAGGAATTTGTATGTCGATGAGAAGAAAAATACTGAAAGATAATTGCTAGCCCCTTGTGACACCAGAGCCCCTGGTTTGAAGTAAACAATAAAATAACTATGTTTTGAGGCCCATTTTGCTTGCTTTTTGTCTTTCAGTCATGTTTAAAATTAATTTTTAAAATTTCCCACATCTACATCTCAGTTTTTAGAATTTTTAATAGCAGGGCTTAAAAAGATAGTTATCTAGAAGAAAATTGACCATACTTTAACAGGAATAACTTCTTAGAGATAGTTGTCACCCTCCAAACAAACTACTATAATGTTTCTTTCATAGGGAAAGAAAAAACTTTTTTTTTTGAGAGAGAGAAGGTTTCTCTGTGTAGCCCTGGTTGTACTCACTATGTAGACCAGGCTGGCCTCAAACTTATAGAAATCCACCTGTCTCTGTCTCCTGAGTCCTGGAAATAAAGGTGTGTACCACCATGCCCAGCAAGGAAAAATATTTTTAAGAGTCACAATTGCTAATATTAATATTGAAGTTAGTAACTACTCCAGATGTTTATAGAAGGAAAAATGTTTATAATGGAAATAACCAGGTGTGCTGTAAAACAAGGGGAGATTTGAGCTAATAGTGTTTATGAGCATAGACAGGAAAGATAACCCAACAAAGGTCAACAGGCAGGAGGGCTTTGTGGTTCATGACAAGTGCGTTTATCCAGAACATGTCTGGAATGCCATAAATGGCGGGGGGGGGGGTGTCCCTGCATATGTCATACTGGGACTTTGTCTCAGCCTGGATCAGACTTCAGGGAGTCTAACAACGGGAGGTATTCTCAACGTATTTAAGCCCAGTACAGTTTGAAAAAAAATGTTTCCTGGTGTAATACAATCCCCGGTGCACAAAGAAGTGTAATTACATTGAAATCAACTCAGAGTAATGTCACTCCCTCCAAGATGGGTTCTAGAGATAAGCATTGTCCTAGTTCAGGGGCCTAAGGATCTAGCCTGGTCTCAGGTCATACACAGCTCTGTGCATAACCTGACTAACATTTGGGCTGTTAGCTACCTCTGGTCCTGGTTGTGGGAACTTGGGGGAGCCTCGGGCTATAGGGGTCGTTTAGCTATTAGCCATCCCCGGTCCTGGTTTTAGAAGCTTGATATGGCCTGGCCCAACAGATGACACAGATCACCAGGCTATCAGTCACTTCCAGTTCTCAGCTTTCTGGAGGGAAGAACGGGTATTTCCACCTTTTCCATTTGGAAATAAAATCCTGTGTGCTTAGCATTCCTGGTTTCTCTGGAGATCTGTGGGCTCAAGGACCTTTGTGCTATGCTCCCAACATAAATGACACACAGGTTTATTATACTAAATACCTTTAGGTCCTGTCTGAATTACACTATTCAAAGCAAAATTTTTGTTCCTGCGTACTTAAATTCAGTAAACAGGAAACCAATTATATATATGTATACATGTATACGTATACATATATGCACATACATGCATATACAATCATACATACATACATACATACATACATACATACGAATGTGCCCACTAGCAGCAAATTGCAGACAAGAGAGCGAGTTCTGGACAGTGGAGAAATTGCTGTTTTATTCAATCATTTTGTCTGTTTTCTGTTGCAACTAAGACTGGCTAGTTTGTAAAGGAGAAGTGTTTGGGCTTGAAGTTCTGGGAATCAGAGAGCTTGAAGCCAATGTCTGCTCTGATTGAGCAAGGACCTCACAATGAAGGACAAACTGGCATGGGCAAAAGGCAGAGGGAGCCAGACGACACCATAACAACCAGCTCTCACCAAAGTTAACCCACTTGGAACAGTATCCACGTGGTCTTTGACAGCCTCCTTTGCTTTTAGTCATGAGACCATCCCAGACTGAACATGGACTTGCTTACCCCAGACTGAAGAGTTATAATTTCTCCAGGTGTCCCCTGTTGCAGACGGAGGGAAATGGCATTGCCAGTGAGACCCAGTCTAGATGCGGGGTCAGTCATTACTGCAGGGCTGCAGTGTTTGTAGATGGTGCCTGGAGGTTTCATTTGTCAAGAAAGCATATTTTGATTTGAAAGGATTGTGTGGGCTGCTGTGTGAAGATCCAGGTCATCTGGAGCGCTGAAAGGCTTGGGTTGTAAAGTCAGGCTAGTGAGGTGGTAAAAGAAAAAATTTGGTTACTTTACCGGGACTTACTAATGGGTTAGAACAGGAGCTATGATAAAAAGGAGTAAGGGGTGGCAATAGGAATCTTGAGTGGAGATATTTAAGGCCCAGGAGCACATAGCAAAAGCCCCTTCCTGGAGAGGTGCTTAGTGTGTCTGACTTAATCTGGGTCTACATTGAGACTGTATGAGAACCTAGTTCTAGGTGGAGGTACAGGCCAGCAGGTAATAATAGGTAGGGCAAATGTATATAAATGACATTTAGAACCCTTGGCATGGAGTAGCCAGAAGCTCTTCATAGCAGTAGGAGAGAAACTGGACAAATATGAGCATGAACTCTTGTGTGGTTGGGGAAGGCCCTCATGCAAATGACTAAAATAGGAAGCAGGCAGCTCCAAGACTGCCTTGGGATTATCGGTCACTCATCTAGACTAAGTTAGGAGAGAGGCTCACTCTTGGACACAGTCTACTACAACATGGTGGCATGTCCTAGTGGCAATAGAGGAGAAACCTTTTGCTCCTCCTCAGAGCTGCCCCGGTGAGAACTGAGAAGGGGTCTGGCTACTCCAGAGGCCAGGGTGGCAACTAGGTTTTAATGCCCCTTTCCCCAGCCAGGCATTTGGCGGGACAGCGCTTACCCTCGAGCCAAGCCTGCAGCCACTGAGGAGGCAGCTGGAGCTTTGAGACTGGGTCAGGTTTTTAAAGAGGGAAGAGGGGTTCTCTAGACTTGGTTTTGGCCATGTGATCACACGGGACCCCATTTTCTATTTGTAGTGCTTGGTGTACCTCACAGTGGAAGGGTAAAAGTCAGCAGGCTTGAGGGCATGGTCTTGAGCAGGTCATGGATGGGGTGACGCTCCAGGTGATGTAAGCAGTCCTCTGTAAAAACCTCTTATTGGCAGTGAACAGCAAATGTACGTTATTGCCCAGGGATACTAAGATTTCAAGTTGACCTTCCCTTGGGCAAGCAAGCATCTCTAAACATTTTAGATTTGTGTCTTTGGGGATTCCTGATGGAGCATTCGAAGGTTTTAGTTTTGGGCTGAGTGTGGCAGGACCAGTTCTAATCACCTTTGATCTCTCCAGTGGCGGTGGAGACAGAGCACAAAAGAAGCTTTGCTCTCCATTCCGGATCCTCCCCTATTTGGTTCATGTTCAGAACTCTGCCCAGCCTGAACCAGAGCCGTGCTGCCTAGCACTGGCTGAGAAGATTCACTCTGGTTATGAAGGTAAGTCAGGGTGTCCTGTGCTCAGTGAGAGGCAGAGGAGTCCAGACAGGAGCATGGGTATGACCGTTTCTATAGATCCAGGTCGTAAGACTGCCTCATGTTTAGTGTGGGCCATAAACTCTGTGAGCACTTCTAGCTGCCGTTTACTGACCTTGCCTTCCTGTGTATTATCACTGCCACAGTGTGTCCTCATGGTCTGCACCTCACACTCAGATACGTAGTACTTTAGTCCCTTCTCAGTTGGTGACCTGCTCTATGGCCTTTTCCATCTGTCTTGTGTGAAGTAATAGCACTAAAATCGTTACATGAAGAGGCCACAAGAATGATTGAATTTGCCTCATAGCACATACCTTGAGGGACTGAGGCGTGAATGCCCTGAGCTACTTAACAAGTTCTAGGCTAGCCTGGGCTACCTAGTGAATCCCTGCCTCAACAAACCTAAAGCTGGAGGTATAGCACAGTGATAGTTACTTGTCATGCTGTGGAACTACAAGGCCCTGGGTTTGATTCTCAACACTTAGGGGGGCTGGCAGGGGGAAACGACACGGGACAATACAACATGTTCTAGAAGTGTTTTGGAATTTCAAGGAATTATAGTGTGTATATTCAATGAACAAGAACTATATTTCTAAACTTGTATATAGGCAGCTTCCATTTACTACTTCGAACCACAGTTGGTTCTGATGGGACATGATATGTGCTTCCTACAAATTGCCACTCTGTAAGTCACAATAAAAACAGGAGTATTGGAAAAATTAGTTCAGGGGAAACAATGAACAAAAAATTAATTTAAAAAGAAAAAAAGGATAAAAGGCCTAAAGAGGTATTTCATCAGTTAAGAGCACTGGCGGCTCTGGGGCTGGAGAGATGGCTCAGAGGTTAAGAGCACTGACTGCTCTTCCAGAGGTCCTGAGTTCAATTCCCAGCAACCACATGGTGGCTCACAACCATCCCTTATGAGATCTGGTGCCCTCTTCTGGTGTGCAGATATACATGGAAGCAGAATGTTGTATACATAATAAATAAAATAAAATCTTTAAAAAAAAAAAAGAAGAAGAAGAAGAAGAGCACTGGCGGCTCTTCAGTAGACCCGTGTTCAGTTCTCAGCACCCATGTGGTGGCTCACAGTTGTCTGAAACTCCAGGCTAGAGGCTCTCACACCCTCTTCTGACCTCCTGTACATACATGCAGGCCAAATACCTATGCACATAAACAACTGTTTTAAAAGGAAATAATAAAACCATTGAATTATATGTTAAACAGTAACACCAGTACTTCTGTAAATGTGGCTTGGGGTGCACTGAGGTAGCAACAGAGAGTTGAAATGTGTGCATGTTGTATGAATTCCTGAGTAGCTCCGAGCACTGGATGCCCTTTTCCACGTTCACTTAGGGTTTCGTGAAGTTGAGATCATGCTGAAGTCACTGATGTAAGCCTATTCTCAGAGAGTGCACATTTTACATTGGAGCTTGCCTGACTCGATGGTGCCAATTTTATTACCTAACAAACTGCTTTAGTGCTATTTCAAATGCTTTCATTTATTTATATACTGCCACCAAAGAATATGCAGCCCTTCCCTTACTCCCACTTTAACTATTAGATATTTGTGATAAAGAAATGAACTATTTAGAATACAGCAGACTTTGTGTATTTAAAATTAACCATAATATAGTCATCACATAGCGACCTCATTAAAATCAAGTTAATAATGAAAACTATCATTATTTTACTGTAGCTTTGACTTCATGACAGTCAGACATTAGATTTAAGTTAGATCTCTGCCATTTCATTTGGAGATTTTATTCCTTGCATGTTTAGTAGCTGGTTTAGTAGATGATTAATTGTGTATTTGCCCCTTATTAAGTCTTTCTCCTTTTTTAATAGCTCCTCGAATCCCTGTAGATAAAAGAATTTTTACCACAACACACACCCCAGGATGTGTGTTTCTTGAAGTTGATGACAGGTAAATACTTCTTTGAGCCTAAAAGAAATTTGTTTTGGAAGACAGACCAGGGTACTAGAGGTCTGTGTCACGCTTTGCGTACTGTTCTGTATCCTGTGACAGACTGTCAGTTTGACCGAGTGGTTCCTGCTGGTTACAGTGAGCTTAAATTGAGTCTTCTTAAATATATTTTCAAATCACATTTATTTGTTTGTGTGTTTGTGTTGTGAGTGTGTGTGTCTGCCGCATGCGCGCGCACACATGAGAGCACACTTGCTGTTTGCCATGTACATGTGGGATCTGAGGCCACCCTTCTGGTGTTGGGTCTCACCTGCCACTGTATGGGTCCCAGGGATCCAGCTCAGGCCAGCTGGCTTGGTGGCAAGTACTTGCACCTGTTGGCTGAATTTTATTTTAAACATCTTGTATATTGTATTTTTAAAAGTGATTTATATGACACCTTACTAGATTTCATGACATTGAGGCATAAGTGGTTCAGGTGTTACCACTCTTATTTTACATAAACCAAGGACCAGTTCACCAAGAACTTCTAACTGTACTCAGCTTAGGACCAAGACTCAAATCCTTTAGCATTTACTCTCATGATATTTCCATTTGGCAAATGCTGCTCAAATCAATTTATACTAAAAAGGAAAAAAATAAAGAGAACATGTATTTTTAATAAAGGCTAATGTGTAAAGTTTTTTTTTCCCCATTTTGACTTACATTGCCTTCTTTTTCTTTTTAAGGGCAATTTTTAAATGGCTTTGTTATAGTTTGAACATAGTGAATAGTAGTTGGTGCTTATTGCTGTTTTTCAGTATTTTTTTTAGCAAAGAGTGATTTCCTTTATGTGTGCAGGTGTTTTGCCTGCGTATGTGTCTGCATCATGCATGGAAGTACCTCTGACGAGGACAGAGGGCAGCTTCAGACCCCTGGAACTGGATTAGAGATAGTCGTGGGCCACCATCTGGGTTCTGAGAATCGAACTCAGGTCCTTGGGAAGATCAGTCAGTGCTCTTAACTACTGAGACCATCTTTCCAGCTCCTGGTTTTGTATTTTTATTTGGATAAAGCAAATATTGGCTGGGTGGTCCACACCTTTAATCCCAGCATTCAGGAGGCAGAGTCAGGCAGATTTTGGTGAGCTTAAGGCCAGCCTGGTCTACAAAGTGACTTCAAGGACAACCAGAGCTGTCACACAGAGAAACCCTATCTTGAAAAACCAAAAAAAAAGTAAATGTTTGTATCGTGTTTGTATATGCAACCCCACATACACACGTTTATTTCGGAATTGTACTTATTCTTGAAATTTGGAAATCAGAAGCAGGACTAAACCATGTGTTAGTGTAAAGCAAAGCACAGAGAATGTTTATGGAGCCTGTTTTGTCTAAGTCATCCTTCCAAGGGTTCTTTATCTGGAAAATATTTCTGTGAGTCTCAGGATGACAATTGCCTTAGATACCATATTTGATTTTGACATTACATTGTATTCAGTTATCAGCAACCACATTTTTGTTGATCAGTCTTTGTTACTATGGTAAAAGACTGCAGTTTCGGGCCATGGTCACTTGGCTGGCTCCATTGCTTTGAAAACTCCGGTGGGGCAGGGAATCATGGTGGAGAACACATGGTGAAGTTAACCTGCTTGCTTCCTGGGGCCGGGAAGGCAGGGCAGGGATCTGAGTGTAGGAACCACGGAGGAATACTACTGGCTGGCTCACTCCCTGACTCACACTTCCTTACACAGCCTGGGACCACCTGCCTAGGAAATGACACTGCCACTGTAGACAGAGCCCTCTTACATTAAGAGGGTTGAGACAATCCCTCACTGACTAACATGGTATGGTGAAGGCAATTATTCAATTGAGACTTCCATGGGGTGATTCTAAGCTATGTCAGGTTGACAGTTATGCCAGTTCAGGCAGAGCCAGGGGACTTTCCCCAGTACCCTAACTTCTTTCCACTAGGCTTTGCCTCCTGAAGGCTGCACCACCTCCCAGTAGTACCACAGGCTGGGGACCAAGCTTTCAATGTGCTATACTAATCTTGGGGGACAGTCAAGGTCTACACTATTGTAATATTGTATAAGTTCATAGCCCACTTTATCATCAATATCTTTCTGTTACCATGTGCTCTTTTTAAATGACAACGTGACAAAGAGCACAAGACAACTTGCTGAAAATTTGTGTCCATGGGTTATCTCCTGAGGCATGAATTCTCTTTGGTCTTAATAAAAACTCAGAGTCAGCTATCAGGGGATGAAAGTTGAAAGAGAAGCAAAGTGGCCAGCCTCTGGAAAGTTCTTACCTCTACCAATGCTCAGACCAAAGGAGCGATCCTGTCCTCAGACTGTTTCCTCAGACTGCCATGAGCTCCCATCTCTTCCCACCTTATATTCCTGTCTCCGCCCAGCCATGTCCCTTCCTGTAGCCACCTCCTTAGTGTTGGCATTAAAGGCATCACTCCAAGTGCTGGGATCACCTTTGTGTGAGCTCTGTTTTCTCTTTTAGACTAGATCAGTTTTGTGTAGCCCAGGGTAGCCTTGAACTCACAGTGATCCATCTGCCTCTATCTCCTTGAGAACTGGGATTAAAGGTATGCACCACCATTGCCGGGCCTCTCTGACTAACTAGTGTGGCTGCTGGGATTAAAAGTGTGTGCCACCACCCACCACTGCCTGGCCTCTATAGCTAACAAGTGGTGTAACTGCACTCTGATCTTCAGGCAAGCTTTATTTGTTAGATCATAAACAAAATAACACAGTCTCCAGAGTTTCTGACTCATAAGTTCACAGTGAGCCTGCAAGCCTGTTCTTAGGGAATGGGAAGTTGTCAGATAAGTGCTGACATAGTCAGCTGTGTCTGTTCCCCATAGCACAGGTACTTGGGTTTTTGCTTTCATGGATGCATTAATGGACACTTTTCCATAAATGTTCATCTGTTTAGATTTAAATAGAGAGGCTAGGGTTGGGAGTGATGTTTTGTTTTGCAGAGCGGGAGATAGAATCCTTATATATACTTAGCACATAGTCTCCCCCAAGTCACATTGCCAGCCTGAGTGGGTATTTTTAAGTAAATAAAAACGACTTAACTCCTTGCTCAATATAACATGCTTCCTGTGCTGTATACCTGTGCCCCCAGGGCAGTGCCTTTGCTGGGCTACCTACCTCAGGATCTGATTGGAACATCGATCTTAACATACTTGCACCCAGAAGATCGGCCTCTGATGTTTGCCATACACCAAAAAGGTGGGGCCTGCTCCTTTATGGAAGTTGTTATTTGCCACTGCTTGGTTGTAATTTTTCAGTTCATTACTCATGAGAGTTTCCCCTTTACCCAAATGAGAAGTGCATTGACCCTACTGAAGTAGCCGTTTCCTCAGAATTCTCAAACAGATGACTGAAGCAGGCACCTGCAGTCTGACCTGTGTAAAGTCTGGTTTCCATCTTGTTGCTTCACATAGTTCTAAAGTATGTGGGTCATCCTCCATTTGAACACTTGCCCATCAGATTCTGCACTCAGAACGGAGATTACATCATTCTGGATTCCAGCTGGTCCAGCTTTGTGAACCCCTGGAGCCGGAAGGTTTCCTTCATCATTGGCCGGCATAAAGTTCGAACGTAAGTTCATCCGTTGCTGCTACCGAGATACAGAGGTGAGTGGGGCAACTGTCACCTGTCAGGGGAGATGGACAAGGTCCTGAATTCAGGTTTTGTTGTTCCTTTCATGGCACTGCCAGCACTCTGGTTTTTCTGATGTTTGCAGTCTTGGGGTGGTGTTTCAGCTTTTAGGTTACTGTAGCTGCACTATAGATCTGTAACTCCAGGTCCAGGGGATCCAGTGTCCTCTTCTGGCCTATGCATGTGTTGAGATAAACACTCAAACACCATACACATAAAAAGTTAAGTTAAAAAATTTTAAAGGATTCATTTCATACGTATAAAAGTATTTTGGTTGCATGAATTTAAGTGTACTAAGTACATACCTGGGGCCTATGGAGGCGAGAAAAGGACACGGGTCTCCTGAAATTGGAGTTAAAAACTGTAAGCAGCTATATGAGTGCTGGGAACCAAACCCAGGTCCTCTTCCAGAGCAGAAAGTGTTCTTAAACATGGAACCATCTCTTTGCCTCTGGCTTTGCTGTTTCTTGGTTAGTTCTTGCATCCAGCCTGAGCTGGGCAAGCATTCTCCAGCTGGGCCATATCACCCAGCCTCACACTAAATGTCAGAGATAATGCCTACATCCTAAGACTAAATGAGGTGCTATATCTGACTCCGTATTCCTCATTTGGTACCCACTCTACCAGGGTCCCATGGTGGAGTTTCATGCCATGACAAATGTATGAACCTTGGTACCAAGACTGTTCCCTTCCTCTCTCCCTTCTCTCCCCTTAATAGCTCGGGGACCTGGAGAAGGTTGACATCCCATTGAAGGGATGATACTTGTAAAACAATTGGAACACGACTATCACTCTCAACCTTCCTAATGCTGGGACCCTTTAATACAGTTCCTCAAGCTGTGGTGAACCCCAGGATTTTGTTGCTACTTCATAAGTGTAATTTTGCCACTATTGTGACTCATAATGTAAATATTTTTAGAGATAGGAATTTTCCAAAGGGGTCAAAAATCTCAGGTTAATAACCACTGCTTTGTGGCTTTTGAAGATGTTATTTTCATATTCTTAAAAATCAGCACAATTTTTAGGAGGAGGTTCTAATTAATGTTAGTTTCTCCTCTTTATTATCTTTGTTGGCATTCACTATATCCAGGTAACTTTGTCTTTTAGTTTATCATGTAAGACGGGGAACACCCACATGTGTAAGATGACACACACATGTGGAGCTCAGAAAACATGTGGTGCGGGTATCACCTGTCACCGTGGTTTCTGAGATCAAACTCCAGTCATCAGGCCTGTCCAATAAACGATTTTAACCACTGAAGCATCTCAGTGGTCGATTTTAAGTCCTCTGAAGTTTGTAAATGAGATGGGAGGTAGTGTTGTGACAGCCTCATTTTCACCACTAGGGTAAAGCTGTAGAGTCCTCTTTACCAGGTGGCATAGGTGAGTAGCAGCTTTAAGTTTTATTTATTTATTTTTGGGGTTTTGAGCCAAGGTCTCACCATGTAGTTCTGGCTGTCCTGAAAAACTCACTATGTAGACCAGGCTGGCCTCTAAAACTCACAGAGAGCCTCCTGCCTCTGCCTCCCAAGTGCCGGAATTAAAGGCGTGTGCTACCACACCCAACTTAAGTGTTTTTAGTTTTATTTTTACTATTTTTTAACTATGTGTAGGTTAGATGTGTATGCCTGCACGTTGGGTATGTGCAGGCAGCCAGAGGCACCGCATCTCCTAGGAGGTGGAGCTATAGATAGGTATGAGCCACCTGACAAGGGTGGTAGTGATAAAATTCAAACTCTAGAGGAGCAGCGAGTACTCTTAACCACTGAATCATGTCCAGCCCAGCTTTAAACATTTACTGCTTGGCAACGTCAGGGTTAACATGCCTACAGAGGTTCACTCAGTTGAATTTTGAAACCAGTCCTTACTGAAGTAGCTTGTCACTGGTTTTATGTATACTCATACATTTATTAAATTTATACACGCTCGCACATCCAGGACCTGTTACATAAACGTCAGTGCTGTAGAGACACTTTAAACTGCGTCAGGTGTTTGCCTGTGATCCCGGTTCTCAGGAGGTAGAGATAGGATGATCAAAAGTCCCAGGCTAGCCTGGGCTAATTTAGCAAGACTTTAACTTAAAAAACAAAGCAACAACAATAAAACCCCAAGGGCTGAGGATGTAGTTTAGTAGTGGAGTGTTCCCTAGCATGTACAAGGTCCTATGTTCTGTCCCCAGGGTCATGTGGGTTGGCAACTGCTGTATCCAGTTAGTTTCCCTGGGAATTTTAACTCCATATTTTCTTTATCTGGAGTTAAAAAAGAGTTGTTTCATCAAAACAAAGCTTATTCTTTTTGGTTTCTTGAGACAGGGTTTCTTTGTATTGCTTTGGAGTCTATCCTGACACTCCCACTGTAGACCAGGCTGGCCTCAAACTCCCAAAAGATCTACCTGCCTCTGCCTCCCGAGTGCTGGGATTAAAGGCATGCACCACCAACACCCGGCTCAAAGCTTATTCTTTTAATGGTCTGTTGCAAGCACTTTAGTCTTCATTTTAGATGAATTTGGTTGCTTGGCTCATTGTTTCTCTTGGTGTTTTATAGGAGTCCATTAAATGAGGATGTTTTTGCTACCAGAATAAAAAAGGCAACTAATAACGACAAAGACATAACAGAATTACAAGAACAAATTCACAGACTTCTCTTGCAGGTAAAGTGAGAGGTTTTAAAAGCACATCACTCCCCCTCCCCCAATTGTGTTTTATGTTAGTTCAGTCTTAGTGATGTCAGACTACAAGAACACTCCAAGACCACATGTGGAGGAATCTTTACCTCCACATCTTAGAAATGTTTGCTTTGCTCTTTGCATCTATGGGTTAAGTTCTTCCATTTTGTTCTTTATTCCGTGTGAGACACACAGGACATTTCTGGCTGACTGGTAGGGCAGACCTTGCTTTCTGGTTTTCTTCATGAGAGAATTCTTTTCATGCCTCATACACCAGCAGTGTGCTCAGCTCCTGAGTTTGGGCTTCAGTGTTTTTAAAAATAATTCAGTTTTTAAAAGTAGAAGAGATACACAGTTGGTCTCAGTTTCTCATCATTATAAGGGAAGAAGAGGGCAATTACTTGTTGAAAAGAACAACCGAAGACGGGTTCTGTTAGTAAATAAAGTTGAGTGTGTCACACACAGAGAATGCGAGCCCAGGTATTTTCAGAAATGAAACTTTTGTGAAAAAATAATTTATTGAACTTTATTATATGTGCATTGGTGTGAAGGTGTCAGATCCCCTAGAACTGGAGGTCCAGACAGTGTGAGCTGCCGTGTGTGCTGGCAATTGGATATGATTTACAAAAATTTGTTATCTTACAGCATCTAAAAGGACGTGTTGTTGTGATCTCCATCTGGACTAGAAAGTCAGGCTCTGCCCTGAGCATAGCAGTGTGCTGAGGTGTGTCTCACACCAGCATCCAAGCCAACAGCTTCACCCTCCCCATGCCTGCTGCAGCATTTAAGGAGTGCTTAGCTTTGTGGTGGTTGTAGATCAGAAGCTCTGAGGTGAATAATGTCTGTACCACTTACACAGCAGTAACTGAATGGGCCCTTCCTCCTAGCCGGTCCATGCCAGGGCCTCCAGTGGTTACGGGAGCCTGGGCAGCAGCGGCTCCCAAGAGCAGCACATCAGCATCGCCTCTTCCAGTGAGTCGAGCGGACACTGTGTGGAGGAGGCCCAGAAGGAGCAGGTGTGTGGCACATGTGTCTGTGTGGACGCTGTCTGTCTGTCAGGGTTGGTCCTCACCCAGTGACATCTAGGCACATGTGTCTGTGTGGACGCTGCTTGTATGTCAGTGTTGGTCCTCACCCAGTGACATCTTAGGGTGGTCATTTCATAAATTTCATTTTACTTTAGAAAATTACTTGAGTGAATACAGATAAATGTCTGTAAAAAGAAAGTCTGAAGTAGGCTTAGTGGCAGTGCTTATAATTTCAGTCTTCGGAGTGAAAACAAGAGTTCTGAGGCCAGCTGGGCTACGTGGTAAGGGCCCTGTCTTTTAGAGGAAACAAACCATGCTTTTCTAAAAGCGGTGTACCATGGATAGGTGGATGTATGGTTTGATTGGCATCATTGCACAGTGGCTCATCGAGAAGTGGAGTTAAAGTGAGGACTGCTTTTAGTCCTGCGTCAGAGACCAGAACTAAAGCATGTGCTGTTGGCCTGTCTTTTAGTGCACACTTGTGCATTTTTTAACCCTATCGTATCATTCTCCCCAAGGTGACCTTGCAGCAGGTCTACGCCAGTGTAAACAAAATTAAGAATGTGGGCCAACAGCTCTACATTGAGTCTATGTCCAGATCAGTCAAGCCAGTGATGGACACACGCATGGAGCTGCAGGGTGGTGGTAAGTCAACAGAGTGGCCCTCAGCCGCTCCTGAGCCTGTCTCTTCACAGACAGCAGCATGTGTGCATGCTGAGCAAAAAACCCTGAGCCCTGTGCCGCTTTCTAGCTTGCTGAATTGCCCAGAAAATGGTAATACTATTGACATTAATAATGTACTATCTGCATAATACCACGTGGAAGCTGAGTAGTTTTAAAACATAGATCAGTATGCTTTAATAAAGAATTAACTATTTTGATTCCATCTGTCCTAGTTAGGTTTCCTATTGCTGTGAAGAGACACCATGACCACAGCCACTCTTACGAAGAAAACATTTAATTGGGGTGGCTCGCTCACGGTTTCAGAGGTTTAGTCCATTGTCATGGCGGCATGCAGGTAGACTTGGTGCTAGAGCTTACAGTGCTGCACCTTACAGGTAACAGGAAGTCAAATGAAAGTCACACTGAGGGAAGGGACCTCAAAGCCCGCCCCCACAGAGATACACTTCCCCCATCAAGGCTGTACCTCCCAACAGCGCCACTCCCGTTGGGGGCCATTTTCTTTCAAATCACCATACCATCCGATTCTTAGTTTCTTTCCTTTCTGAGCTATCCAAACCCAAAAGAAAATAATTTTAATACATTTCAGATAATAAAGTATATTGAAATAATCCCTTTCTATAATTTCAAATAAATGAAGAATGATCTAGATCGAGTAGAAAACATTGGCCTTTTGAACCGTTCTTGAACGTGAAGTAAGGCTCACTCCAAAAAGTATTGGGCCAGTCAATTATATTTAGTGGTAATGTGTTGGAAAGCTTCCTAGTTGGAAAGCTTCCTAACAGGCAAAAGATCTGTATCTGGAGATTGGATTGGATTGCTGGGGATAGAACCTGGGGTCGTGCTAGGCAAGCACTCTTCCACTGAACCACACTGCTGGCCTGTGTACATTGACTTACTTACTTGCCTGGTTTTTGTTTCACACATTGATCATTTTTTAACCTAACTACCTTTTCTTTCATTTCCCTCCTTCAAGTATAATACAATTTTAGAAATCATGGATTTTGATCATGTAAATTTTATAATAGTATTTATCATTGTCAAATGCAAGCATACATAACATGGATGACATTTACTTTCTGAGACCAGTAATAACAGTAGCTGGGTTGTTCAGGGTCTGTCATGACTTTAAGGCAGCAGACTAGGGAGGTGGATCAGTGGCTAAAGTTCTTGCTGCACAAGTGTAAGCACTGACGTTCGGATCCCCAGGACTCATGTAAAAGCCAGGCATGGCTGTGCATTTTGGTAACTCCAGTGCTAAGGTATGGGGACAACAGGGACCCACTAGCCAGCCAGTCTACCCAGTACTCTCTCCAGTGAGACAACTCATCTCCAAAAACAAAGTGGTGAATTACATGACCTTTGATCTCTACTCACAAACCAGCTCAAACTATGATCACACATTACTACAGCCTTGGGCACGGTGATAGTCAAAAGTTTCTGAGATCTCCAGGTGTAATAGTATAACCCCCCCACCTTGCAATCAGGAGGCAGAGGCAGGTAGATTATTGTGAGTTCCAGGCCAGCCAGGGCTGCAAAGTGAGACCCTGTCTTCCCCACAGGGCTTTATTTTGTTTTTTTGATACTGTAATTTTCTTTTCTTTTTGGTTTTTTGAGACAGACTGCGTAACAGTCCTGGCTGCGAACTCACAGAGATCCGCCTGTCTGTGCCTCCCGAGTGCTGGAATTAAAAGTGTGCACCACTACAGCCCAACATGATACTGTAATTTTCAAACAAAAGGCATTTATCTCACAGTGCGGAAAGGTAGGATGTCTAGGGTCAAGGAATGGAAGGCACAGTATTCAGTGTGTGTTATTGTTTTGTTTAAAAAGAAGAAAAGAGAAATGCTGAGACAGACATCTTGACTATAAGTTTATTATAAAGGCCCGGCAGAATGGGGAGACTAAGAGGAGGAACAGGGTAAATGGCTGCCCGCCATGGCCGGTCGCCATAGAGAGACAGAGCGGGAAACAGAGAGGGCGGGAACAGAGAAAGAGAGAGAGAGAGAGAGAGAGAGAGAGAGAGAGAGAGCGTAAAGGGGCAGGGACTTATCTTTTAAAGGGGTCCTCTGCACCTGTGTGCAGACTTAGTTCCCATGGAACCTTGGGCTGACCAGGGTACTGCCTGTTTGACCAGGTAACGGGCAGGCCAGCATAATGCCTGAACCTTTCAGTGTGAGCCAAGAATGAGCTTGAGTCCCCCATATTCTCCAAAGGAAAAGGAAAAACTCTCCCTACATGACAGAAGAACAGAACAAAAAGAGCCTTAGCTAGTTCCCTCCATTATCACCTCCATGGTTTTGAGATTGAGCCTTGCTATATCACTCCAGTTTTCTCAAACTCCTGAGGTACAATAATCCTTCTGTAACAGCCCCCAACATGCTAGAACCAAATGCATGCCACCACACCAACCTCCAGCTGCATTATACTCTAACTAAGCCATTCACAAAGGGATATGTGAGTGCTTCCATTTTCTGCTCAGGAATAGAGCGAGAGCATCAGCCCACACTTAGAGTGAAAAAGACAGCAAATCTGTGACCTTTCTTTACCCAGTGGGAGTATTGAAGCAGCGGCCACTAGTTCTAGAATCCAAGGAAAGACTCATGTTGTAGAACATTATTTTAAGGTGTATTACTTTTGTTTGTGCTCTGGAACATTTGTTTCATGATGCAAAGATGTGTGTGCGTAAATAAAATTCACCTGCACTCAGCAACTAGCTGGCAGGAGGTGGTGGTGAGAAGACAGGTAGAGAAGGACTCTTTTTTTTTTGGTTTTTTTGAGACAGGGTTTCTCTGTAGCTTTGGAGCCTATCCTGGCACTTGCTCTGGAGACCAGGCTGGCCTCGAACTCATAGAGATCCGCCTGCCTCTGCCTCCTAAGTGCTGGGATTAAAGGCATGCACCACCATTTTTTGCACCACCATTTTTAAGGAGGGTCGAGGAGAAGCACGAGGACTTCTGGAGGGCCAGGAGGCCAGGTGAGCTACTTGCTATTCAGCCCCTGTGTGGAGTAGAATCCCACTTCAACTGTTGAGTCTTGAGAGACAGAGATTTAGGTAAGTTCCCTTGTAGCTGTGAAAGAGTTGGTGCCTGAAGGAACGGAATTCCCTCAGCAGTGGCTCTTGCCCCCTAACTACTGCTGATAGCCAGGGAATTGCAGTCGCTAATTCTGGCAGCAGCGGACATAAAAGGCAGAAGCAATTTCAAAAGAGGACAATGGACTCAGGCTTGTGGAACAAATGAAGCAAAGCAAACACGAATGGACAAAGCAAACGCTGGACCGCTGCTTACTGACTAACTCAGTAAGGGCAGTGGCTTAATCAAGGAACTTATAAGAGACAAATCGTCACTGAGATAATTGCAAAGAGATGACGAGCTGAAAGTGGAGCAGACACTCAAAACAAACTCTCCAGAAAGCAACCACTTGAAGCACAAAGTCTGGCTGGAGGGATCTGGAAACTGAGTCCTTCATAAAACCATAGTGGTAACAGACTGCAAGCCTGGTCTAAGGTTACACTAACCTAGCACAAGTCTTTACAGGGGTATGGCTGCTCAGTCTCTGCTGTCTTTGACAGGCTATTGCATGAGTTCTAATTATTCTTAATAATAAAATCTCGGAGTTAACTATCGGGGTGAAAGCTGAAGGATCAGAGAAGCAGAGTGGCCAGCCACAAGAGAGTTCTTACTCCACCAATGCTCAGACCAGAGGGGAGAACTTGTCCTCAGACTGCACTGCTTCAGACTAACTGCTGCTCAGACTGACTGTAGTGAGCTCCCATCTCCTCCCACCTTACATTCCTCTCTCTGCCCAGCCATAACCCTTTCTGTCTCCACCTCCTCTTAGTGCTGGAATTAAAGGCATCACTCCAAGTGCTGGGATCACTTTTGTGTGAACTCTGTTTCTCATTTAGACAGATTCAATCTTGTGTAGCTCAGGGTGGCCTTGAACTAACAGAGATCCATCTGCCTCTGCCTCCTGAGTGCTGGGATTAAAGGTGTACGCCACCACTGCTTGGCCTCTATGACCTCTGCCTCCTGAGTGCTGGGATTAAAGGTGTGCGCCACCACTGCTTGGCCTCTATGACTAATGTGTCTAGCTCTGCACTCTGATCTTCAGGCAAGCTTTATTTGTTAGATCATAAACAGAATATCACCACAACAGGCTACTGAGCTTTTGATAAATGAAGTTTGTGCAAAGTCATGAAGGGGAAACTGACCTCCCAAGAGACAAAGTGGTCACTAGAGGAAGACTCAGACACATAGCATTGGAAATACCTGACAAGGTAAGATAACTGTGAATGGTACATGGCAAGGCTAATGGGCAAAACGGGCCAGAGGAAACTATTATAAATGCCAGAGGTACTGGGTGTATCCTGCTGCTTGTTTTCCTACTGATTTTGCTCTATGATGTAAAATGTTCACATGACCCAAATCAAAAGAGACTAATATTGATGTTTACAAACTCTGGGGACAATAGGTCAGCAAATCAGACATGAAAAATGCTTGTCATCAGCACGCAGAAGAATCGAAAGCTCCAGCATAGATTCCTAGGACTGCAATGGAAGCAGTGGAGCACATTGAGTCCAGGGGTAGCATCAAGCTACCTAATATGGGATTGATTGGGATCTTAGAGGAAATATTTGAAGATGTAACAATCAAGATTGTCTGTGGATTCAAAGGACATGAGTAGTTTGAAGAATAAAAGTTATTTTTAAGAACCTACTTGGCCAGGCGTTGGTGGCGCATGCCTCTAATCCCAGCACTAGGGAGGCAGAGGCAGGCGGATCTCTGTGAGTTCGAGGCCAGCCTGGTCTCCAGAGTGAGTGCCAGGACAGGCTCCAAAGCTACACAGAGAAACCCTGTCTTGAAATACAAAACAAAACAAAAAAAGAACCTACTTGAACATACCCTGTTCAAACTGCTGAAAATACAAGAGTCCATGATGAGGGTAGCAGGAGACATGACCACAGATCAGACAGAACCATGCATTTCCCCAGAGGGAGACAGTAAACTGCATCTTCAAAGGATCAGCTGTCAACACGGAGTTCTGTACCTGGCAGAAAATCCTCGAGAAGCAGGTTTCTCAAACAACTGAGAATTTGACAGCACACTTTTGATTTGTTTTTTGAAGCAGGTTTCTCAAACAACTGAGAATTTGACAGCACACTTTTGATTTGGTTTTTTTTGTTTTGTTTTGTTTTGTTTTGTGTGTGTGTGTGTGTGTGTGCGTGCACGCGCCTGTACACATGCGGTGCACATGAGTGTGGATAGTAAACCATGGAGGCTAAAGATGTTGGATCCTCTGGAGCTGGAATGACAGTAGTTGTAGCCATGGGTGCTGGGAATCTAATTCAGGTCCTCTGGAAAAGCAGTACTCACTCCTAACCACTAAGTCATCTCTCCAGCCCCAGGAATTTCTTACTACAGAAGAAATATGATAAAAACCTATCTACACTAAGGAGTGAAAATTACTGGATGAGGAATAACAGAAAAGTGTTTTATTTTTAATCGATTTGAAGAATTACTGACTAATAATAGTGTTCTGCATTTATGACACACAAGTAAACCATGGCAAAATATTGCAAGATGATGGGAAGTTTGGGGGAATGCATTGTTGTCAGACTTTGCCTTTGAAATAATGTAATATTTGGAGGTGAACCCTGATCCCCATGTAAATTAGATGAAGGATGGTGAATGAACAGGCACTGTGGCATAGTTAATCTACTATTGAGCTTAAGAGCTCAGGAAGAATCCGTTGTTTCTGGTGATGCTGAATCACTCAGCTCGGGATGGCGTTGGGTGGGTAACACAGACTGTGTGCGCACACTGGACAGAGGTGACTTCTATCCCATGTGGGGTGGAGCAGAGCAGTGAGATTGCATCACACTACCTAGTACACACTTTAAAACAGGAATAGTTAACATCTGCATCTTTCCACTTGATTTTTTTTCTTTTTCCTTTTTTTTTTTTCTACAAGTGACTATGGGTAACTGAAACCATGGAGTTGGTGGTAGATCCTTGCCTAGGATATGCAAAGCTCTGGGCTCAATCTTCTGTTCTCCAGAAAACTAAAATCTTAATACAGTAAAACTACAGGAACCAAAACTAACCACCAGTGGCGGGGTACAGACTGAGATTGAAAGGGGAGAGCAGCTGACTACGAGGAGTAGCTGAGCAAATCTGTGCATGTGCCAAGATCCATAAACATTAATCCCACTTCAGAATGTAGCGAGAACCAAGGCTGTGTGTGGATAACCCTGCTAAGCACGGATGGCATAAACATAACTCAAGGAGATAGGTTAAGTACCTTTAGAGAAGAAGAAATATATATTTTAGCTAGATGCCAGTTACAGAGTACTAATGTGCATAAACACTGTATCCAGGTTGGTGTGTTGATTACCAGAATTATGAAGTTACTTTGTATGTATACTAAGTTTGAACAAGTATGTACAGACATTGTGGATAATGATAACAAGATTTCTCAGTATTGTGGATGTTCCAAGTAATCAGAGGAGGAATTCTAGAGTAAATTGTCCTGGATTGGCAATAGGAGCATTGGAAGAACTCAAGCATTCAGCTGGATGGGTGGACAGGCAGATGCTGGTTAATATGTAGACTTGTGTATCAGTTCTGACCATTTAGAGAACTTAGAAGCATAGACACACCTAACACCAGTATCTTGGTTTTGGGGTGTCTTTTTTCCAACAAAAGGAACCAGGGCCAGAGAGTAAAGATGTCCAAGAGGCAAATGGACATCAGAAGGGCATAGGACAGAGCTCAGAAGAGCTACAAGTAGCCCAGACTGAGACTATTTGAGTAAGTAAATTCATCGTGACAGCGTTGCTTTATAACACACCAATCCAAATAAGTCATGAGTGTATGCTGAGAAATGATTGGACGAGTAAGTGAAGACCAAGGGGTCAGGTTACAGTCGAGTTAAGATGTGACCACCAGAGTCATTCAGATCCTGGACTAGATCCTGAAATAAAAGTTAGGGTTAGTGATAACCCGGCAAATCTCAAGCAAAGTCGTCATCCCAGTCAGTCATTCCTCCATGGTGTGTTTCATGGTTTTATCATGTCGCTGTGTGAACACTCATGGGAGCTTCAGGGACAGGTGTGGGGATGTCCCATACTCTTTATAGACAGTTGAATGAGGCTATCCAAGAAGTCATTTTTCCATAAAGCTGTGTTAAGATAGGCCTGGCCAGGTCAGCTAAAAATGCCCATCACTAAGAACAGCGGTCGCAAACACCACTAACCTGTCAACAGTGTGATGTAAGTAGTTGCTCCTTCCTGACCTCGGTGCCATTCTTGGTTCCAGTTGCAGAGTTTGCTCTCTGCTTGTTTTTCCGCCTCCTTTACCGTCTTGCTCTTCTCTTCTCTTCAGGAGGCTCAGCTTCTCTAGCACGCAGGCCTAGAGGCTTTTCGCTTTTCTCTCTCTGCGCCTGCACCACTGGGCACATTTGAAAATTTTAAGTTCAGCTTCAGATCAATGCAATTCCTTGATTTCAGTGGTCTCTGTCAAGTGCTTCGTGTGATAGTGGCTGGGATGTGGCCGCACAGAGACAGTGGGTCAGTACCATTGAGGCTTCGCATGGGCAGTGCTGTATTCTTCACCTTGCAGCACGTGAGATATGTGTGATACCCAGTTATTCCAGTCCTCATGTGCACTGACAGCTCTACAGGTGTTCAGTAGACAGGTGGTGTACGGGGGTGGGAGTGACACACAGCATTTAGGCGTCTCCTTAGCCAGTTGTAAAAGTAGTAATAGCCTGACATGGGCATTCCCCATCAGCCTTTCACCTGATAGTTGCTTTAGTGATCCTTGCCTGAGGTGCATGTTTCATTTGTTTTTTAAGATGCTGGTGTAACCATTCTGTGTAGCCTGCTTTGGTGCCTTGTTTTATTCACTATACTGATACTTCAGTGTCAGTGTTTTCAGATCCAAGCTTGTGGTTAATGGCTGCATGACATTTTATAACTGTATATTATGAGGATACTATTGTCTTGATCCATGCTAAGCATTTTAACCATCCATGCTTTCATTCTCTCTCAGATGAGCAGAAGGACTTTTCTCCCTCTCAGACACTGAAAAATAAATACATGTGTACTGGCTCTTGTGATGACCTGAGGCGAGAGCAGCACAGCTCATCCTACCAGCAGATGAACTGTATCGACAGTGTCATCAGGTAAGACATGCCAGTGAGCCTGGCTCATCACCGTAGAGCCCCACAGCATTTTCAGAGATGTTTGTCTTGATTTCCTAGTATAAGTGACAGGATCAGTTGGTTCATGTGGCGCTCTTATAGCCACTGGGGGCAATGGTGCCGAGTCCTTTGTTAGCCATGGAATGCCTGTTATATACAATTCACAATTCATTGAACTTTATGGAAGGCACAGAAAATAAGAAGCCACATCTTGGTGACAGAGCTGTGGCATAGTGAACATGTTTGGGGGTCAGAATTCAATGGTGTGAGCTGTGAAGACCAGTTAAGGAACACAGTGAAAGAGATACTGTAAGTCACTAACCCAGACTGGGATGGTCAGGGTTGACTTCATCCAAGAAGGAAGAAGTCTCCCAGGCCTCAGTGGGCATCAGCAAAGAACGGAAGTGGGAATAGCTTGGTGGAGCCAAAGCAAAGCAATACAAAGCCCAATTCTGTTGTTGTAGGTACCTGAGGAGCTACAGTCTTCCAGCCTTAAAAAGAAAATGCATATCCTACACAAACACATCCTCATCCTCAGAAGAAGCCAAGCAGAACCACGAGGCCGACTGCAGCACAGCACTGCAAGGTAGCAGAGTGTCTTCAGAATACATAGCTTCATTGCTGTCTGTCTGCAGCGTGGCACTGCGAGGTAGCAGAGTGTCCTCAGAGTAGATAACTTCATTGCTGTCAGTCTGTCTGTCTGTCTGTCTGTCTGTATTTATTTATTTATTTATTTATTTATTTATCTTACATCCCGACCAAAGTTCCCCCCTCCTCTCCTCCCATTCTCTCTCCCATACCTCCTCAGTCCCCACCCCCCCAGTTCCACTCCTCCTCCATTTCTGTTCAGAAAAGATCAGGCCTCCCATGGATATCAACCAAACATGGCATATCAAAGTTGCAGTAAGACTAAGCACCTTCCCATGTATTAAGGCTGAGTAAGGCAACCCAGTGTAAAAAGCAGGGTCTCAAAATCCTGTAGAGTCAGAGACAGCCCTGTTCCCACTGTTAGGAGTCCCACAAGAGAACTGTAACAAATATACAAAGGGCCTAGGTCAGTCCTGTACAAGCTCTCTGGTTGTTAGTTCAGTCTCTCTGAGCCACTATGAGCCTAAGTTAGTGGGGTTTTGTGTGTGTGTGTGTGTGTGTGTGTGTGTGTGTGTGTGTGTGTGTGTGATGTCCTTGACCCCTTTGGCTCCTACAATCCTTCCTCCATCTCTTCTGTCAGAGTCCCAAACTCTGCCTAATGTTTGGCTGTGGGTCTGCTTCTGTTTCCATCATTTGCTGGATGAACCTCTCTGATGACAGTTGGGCTAGGTATAGCAGAATATTGTTAGGCATCATCACTTTGGCATTTTTTTTCCTCCAGTCGTGTTTGGTTCTATCTTAGATCCCTGAATCATCCAGCCTGTGGATCCTGGTGCTCCAGGCAGTGTCAGGGGTGGGCTTACTCTCCTGGCATGGGTTTTAGGCTAGACCACTCATCGGTTGTCTACTTCTGTCTTTAGGCCACCCTTACCCCAGCACATCCCATAGTTGAGACAGACTGTAGGTCAAAGGTTATTTGTGTAGTTGGATTTTTCTTTGGGCCACCATTCACAAAAACAGCACAGATTTATTATTAATTGTAAAAGCTCAGCCTATATTTAGGCTTGTTTCTTACTAATTCTTATAACTTAAATTAACCCATATTTTTTCATCTACATTCTTCCCTCATCTCCATTTTGCCCATCCTGCTTCCTCCATGTCCAGCTGGCCAATCCTGCCTTTCTTCTTATCCTGAGACCTCTCTGTCCAGAAGTCCCGCCTATTCCTCCTGCCTAGCTTTTGGCTATTTGGCTTTTTATTAAGCTAATCACAGCGACGCATCTTCACACAGTGTAAAGGAATATTCCATAACCTGTGTGACTGGGTTACTGTCCCAGTCCCTCCTACTTGAAGTCTTGCATAGTCAGGGGAGATGTCCAGTTCAGTCTAGGTATCCCCTGCAGCTAGGAGTCTTAACTGGGGTCATTCTTGTGGATTCCTGGGAGATTCCCATGCACCTGGTTCTTCCCTGATGCCAAATGCCCTCCCTTGGGGAATGTACTGTGTATGTTTATCTTACTGATTGTTAAATAAAATACTGTTTGGCCAATGAGACAGCAAGTAGATGGAACTAGGAGTCAAAGGCGATTCTGGGAAATGTAGTAGAGAAGTCATGATCCAGGCAGGAAGTGACATAGCAAGGAGACTCATATTTAAGCAAAGGAGAAACAGGAAGAGCCCCCTTTTTCCCCTTCCTCCTCCAGCGGCAGGATGTGATCCACCGGCAAAGAGGGATGCCAATAAGGCACCCAATAAGATAAGTCTTATAAAATATATAGATTTATGATAGTTAAGACTGAGCCAGCAGATGAGAAGTCCTAGTCATTGGCCAAGCAGCATTGTACCTAATACAAGTTTCTGTGTATTCATTTGGGCCTGACTCGGGCAGGCGGCTGGTGTAAAGCTCACACGTGGCGGTGGGGCTCAGGCAGCTTTTGGCAGAAAGATTTATCCTAACACCTCCCTTTCCAGTAGTTTCTTTCAGTACTCTCTCCTCCACCCCACACCCCAAATCCAATGGCTCATGTTCTCATCCCACCCTCCCAAAGTCCACTCACAAAATCTTTCCTGTTTCCCCTTTCCTGGGAGATCTGGGCATTCCCCCCTTGAGCCCTCCATGTTACCCTAGTCTCTCTGGTCTGTGGATTATAGTGTGACTGTCCTTTATTTTACAGCTAATACCCACTTAGGAGTGAGTACATAGCGTGTTTGTCTTTCTGGGTCTGGGTTATCCCACTCAGGGTGATTTTTGCTAGTTTCATCCATTTGCCTACAAATTTCATGATGTCATTGTTTTTTAATTGCTGAGTAATACTCCATTGTATAAATGTACCACATCTTCTTTGTCTATTCTTTGGTGAGGGGCTTCTCGGTTGTTTCCAAGTTCTGGCTATTACCAATAAAGCTGCTGTGAACGTAGTTGAGTAAGTGTCCTTGTGGCATACCTGGGGCTTTTCTTTTTTTAAAGATGCATTAGTTTGTGTATTTTAAGTGTGTGAGTTTTGTTTACATGTATGTCTGCATACCAAAAGAGGGCATCAGATTCCATTATAGACAGTGTGAGCAGCTGTGTGGGTGCGGGGAATTGAACTCAGGACCTCTGGAAGAGCAGCCAGTGCCCTTAATCACTGAGCCATCTCTTCAGCTTCTAGCTGGGGCTCATGATAGATTGATTCCTAATTTTCTGAGAAACTGCCATGTTGATTTCCAAAGTGTCTGTACAAGTTTGCACTCCCACCAGCAATGGAGGAGTGTTCCCCTTGCTCCTCATCCTCACCAGCATGAGCTGTCACCCTTGTTTTTTGCTCTTAGCCATTCTGACAAGTGTAAGATTAAGTCTCAGAGTCATTTTAATTTGCATTTCCCTGATTGCTATGAACACTTCTGTAAGTGATTCTTGGTCATTTGAGATTCCTCTGTTGAGAATTTTGTTTAGATCTTTACCCCATTTTCAGTTGGATTATTTAGTTTTTTAATAGTTTCTTTGGTATATATATATACATATTGGAAATCAGACCTCTTTCAGATGTTGGTGAAGATCTTTTCCGACTCTGTGGGCTGCCGTTTGTCCTATTGACCGTATCCTTGGCCTTACAGAAGCTTTTCAGTTTCATGAGGTCCTGTTTATTGTTGATCTCAGTGTCTGTGCTGATGATATCATGCTCAGGAATCTATCTCCTGCACCAATGTGGTCAAGGCTAATTCCCACTTTTTCTTCTGTCAGGTTCAGTGTATCTGGATTTATGTTGAAGTCTTTTATCTACTTGGACTTGAGTTTTGTTCAGGGTGATAGATATGGATCTATTTGCATTCTTCTACATTCCAATATCCAGTTATACCAGCACAATTTGTTGAAGGTGCTTTCTTTTTACTATTGTATAATTTTGCTTCTCTGTCAAAAATCAGGTGTCCATATGTATGTGGATTTATGTCTGGGTCTTCAGTTTGATTCCACTGATCCACTTGTCTGTTTTTATGCCAATACTGTAACACAAAAAATAAAAGATCCAGAGACTAGTATTGGGGTTCAAGCTTCAAGATGAAGGTCAGAAAAGCAAAGTACCCAGCCATTAGCTGTCTCCTCTACCTCAGCTCAGACCAAAGGGGCGATCCTCAGACTGCTCCCGACTTCACTCACTGCTTCTCAGTGTGGCTAGAGACTACTCTCAGAATACTGGCCTATCCTCAGTGTGGCTGGAAAATGAATGCCAGCTCTGAGACTCTGTCCCTGTCTTAAATACCTCCCTAATATTGGGATTAAAGGCCTGTGATCCCAGGTGTTGAGATTACCTTTGTGTGAGCTGTTTCTTTTAGGAGTGGATCAATGTCATGTAGTCATTGTGGCCTTGAACTAACAGAGATCTGTCTACCTCTTACTCCTGAGTCCTGGGATTAGAGGTGTGTACCACCACTGCCTGGTCTCCATATCTTGAGATTGGCTTTGCTTTCTGAATCCTCAGGCAAGCTTTAATAAATAATAAATAATATATCATCACATACAGTTTTTGTTTCTATAGCTCCGTAGCTCAAAATCAAAGATGGTAATGCCTCCAGAAGTTTTATTGTATAGGATTATTTCAGCTATACTATGTGAAGTTGAGTATTTTTCTTTTAAGGTGTGTAAAGAATTGTGTTGGAGCCAGGTGGTGGCGCACGCCTTTAATCCCAGCACTGGAGAGGCAGAGGCAGGTGGATCTCTTTGAGTTTGAGGCCAACCTGGTCTATGGATCGAGTACCAGGATAGGCTCCAAATCTACACAGAGAAACCCTGTCTCAAAAAAACAAAAAAAAACAAAAAAAAAAGAATTGTGTTGGGATTTTGATGGGAATTGCATTGAATCTGTAGATTGCTTTTGGTAGGATGGCCACTTTTACTGTGTTAATCCTACGCATCCATGAGCATGGAAGGTCTTTCTATCTTCTGATATCTTCTCCAATCCCTGTCTTCAAAGACTTGAAGTTTTTGTCATACAAATCTTTCATTTGCTTGGTTCGAGTTACCCCAAAATATATTATTTGTGGTTATTGTGAAGGGTATTGTTTCCCTGATTTCTTTCTCAGCCCATTTATCATTTGTATATAGGATGGCTACTGGTTTTTTGTTGTTTTGTTGTTTTGGTTAATCTTGTATTCTGCCACTTGACTAAAGGTATTCATTAGCTATAGGAGTTCCCTGGTAGTATTTTTCGGGTCACTTATTTACACTATCATATCATCTACAAATAATGATACTTTGACTTCTTTCTAATTTTTATCCCCTTGATTTCCTTCAGCTGTTTTATTGCTATAGCTAAGACTTCAGGTACTACATTAAATGGGTGTATAGAGTGTAGACAACCTGTCTTACTCCTGATTTTAGTGGAATTGCTCCGAGTTTCTCTCCATTTAATTTGATGTTGGCAATTGGCTTCCCGAGTACTGCTTTTCCTTTGTTTAGTTCGTTCCTTGTATCCCTGATCTCTCCAAGATCTTTACCATGAAGGGTGTTGGATTTTACCAAAGTTTTTTTTTTTCAGATGACAGTATGCATTTTTTTCAGCTTGTTTATATGGTGGATTACAGACTTCCCTTACCTCTGTGTGGCTAAGGGCTTTAATTTGTCAGTTGCTGACTTCTGTAAGCTTTCATTTAGGATTCTTCACCATCAGTTTCTCATATACCACCAGATACTGAACAGATCCTGGACATACATAAATCAGAAACACCAGCAACTGGACCATCCACAGATGCTGACGGAGGTGCTGCGTGGACCCTGTCCACCGCTGCGCTGAGCATGGGCTCTGGCATAAGCCAGTGCAACTGCAGCAGCACCGCTGTCCATGCCCCACCCCTACACTCAGGTACTGCCTTTGCCTTTACCATCTGCTTAGTCATAACTTATGTCCTAACTGTTACCCTGTCTTTTATTCGGTAAACTTAATTAAGAAATGTCAGCATGTTTGTATTGGTGATGTATTACAGGCTGTGTTTCTTAAGGATGCTGTGTGTTAATAGGATCAGTGATGCATGTGGAGCTCTTAGAGACGCTGGGGACAGTGGTGCTGGGTTCTCTGTGTTCCTCATTATTAATGCAGTTCCCTGGGGACCTCATCAGTCATGTTGTGGCTGATTTTTCTTTTCCCAAGACATGTATTTTATGTGTATGGATGTTTTGCCTTCACATATGTATGTGTACCATGTGTGTGCCTGGTGATCACAGAGGTCAGAAGAGGGTGCCATATCCCCCGAGACTGGAGTTAGAGGTGGCTGTGAGCCGCCATGTGGGTGCTGGGAACCAAACCAGGGTCAGTGCTCTTAACCTCTGAGCTAACTCTCTGGCCCCTTTCACTGATCTTTTAGAAAAGTGTCTTTCACATGTTGAATGTATACTGGCAGCGGAATGCATCCAGACACCAAATTCTCAGCACAAAGGAGGTTTATTGCCCCAGAGAGACACAAGGCAGGGAACATGGGGCAAAGACAGGAGCTAGAGAATGAGGGAGAAGGGGAAAGGGTGCAAGGGAGAGGGGAAGTGATACTTGCCCAGGAGGGACAAAGGACTGCCTGTAGATAGAGAGGAGACAGACATGCGCCATAGACACATGGTGGTTTATAAAGGGAAAGGGGGAAACCCCGTGTTAGGATGAGGTGATTAATTTTGATTGGGCATGTTAATTAGGGTAGTCAAAGGGGGGCTTTAGATTGCTGGACTTCAATACTTTAATAGCTGGACCTTGGGAGGAGGAAGTGACCAAATAAGGGACTCGACCTTGGTGACTAGCTGAAGGAAAAAGCTTATAGATTCAAGATACCTTTATTCAGATAAATACCAGCCAAACGTAAGCCAGAGCGTGCCCAGGGGCAGCAAGGCAGGGAGGCCAGAGAGAAGGGGCAGCCGAAGGGGAAGAGAGCTTTCCATGTGCTCGTGGTCGCTTAAGAGCCCACCTTGACCACGCCTTGATAGGCGTGGTCAGGCACACCTGTAGCCAGCTCTTAGGAGGCATGGTTAAGGGTGTCTCCCTACAGCTAGCTTTAGGAATTCCATCTGTTTTTAGCAAGGGGGAGGGGGGTAAAGGCAAAACCTGTGGGAACCCTGTTTGCCATGCTTGGGCCTGCTACAGCCCTTCAAGTGGAGCATGTCCTTTACAATGTACTCACCCAATTAATTGCTCTTATCTTTGTCTTTTTATTCTTTTTCATTGCCTCCTGTCCTTTTGACATTCTGGTTTTTCATAATGACTTGATAGGTCAAGTGGTGACAGATGTCTTTAAGTTGGGTTTGGGGTGGTCTCTAGCCTACCTTCACTGACCTTCTGTGGCATATTGGCTAAGATGTGTTGAGTGGTTGCTGTGGAAGTTCTCTGCCCTTCATTCTTGGAGCTTTATTGGTCCCCACTGCCACAACCTCAGGGATATGGGGTACTTTGGGCTCATGATTTGAGGTACAGCCCAGCTGTCTCATAGTACTTCTGCCTTGCCTCCCCACTGTGACAGACTGTTCCCACAAAAACAACAAACACTTCCCCAACAAGTTCCCCCCACCCTAAAAATGCCCAAACAGGGTGCATTTGCACCTGTCCTGAAGGCCTGGCTCAGTTCTGATAGAACTGTCTCCAGCTAACCGGAGCATAAAGAAAGTAGGGCAGAGAAAAAGGATGGTTTTCTGTGGGAGGATGAAAACTAACTGGATAGATAGTGAAAGGACAGGAAGGATTTACTAAATTGATATTTAAAACTTGGTGTTTGAATCATGTGAATATGTTACCTATTTAAATAACCAATTGAGCCAGGAATGGTGGTGCATGCCTTCAGTCCCAGCACTCGGGAAGCAGAGGTAGGTGGCTAATTTTGAGTTCAAAGACAGCCTGGTCTGTATAGAAAGTTCCAGAACAGCCAGAGCTACATAAAGAGACATTTTCTCAAAGAAACAAGTAGAAAAAATTCAAAGGCTGAATGTGATGGCACACACTATAATCCCATTGCTCAGGAAACTGACATAGGAGGGTCACGAATTCAGCACAGGTAGGTTACTTAGTGAGTTCCAAGCTCTGTTTCCAAATTAATAATTTTGAACAAAAATCTAAAAAAATGTAAGGGTGTGGAAAATGTTCATAATAGCAAGATCTAAATAAATGTCTGTATATTATTATAATCATAAAGTACATATACGTGAAAAGTATAAAGGAAAGAAGAATTTTTGTACGGTAATGATGAAGTTTTTATATTCCAACAATTACATTTGTAGAAATTTATTGAAAGGCAGTTGCAAAATAAAAAATAAATAGTTGCAGGCTGGAGAGATGGCTCAGAGGTTAAGAGCACTGAGTGCTCTTCCAGAGGACCTGGGTTCAGTTCCCAGCACCCACATGGCAGCTCACAACTGTCTATAACTCCAGTTCCAGGGGATCTAATACCTTCACACCAATGCACATAAAGAAAATTAAATAAATTATTTAAAAATAAATAAATAAATAGTTGCTATTAATTATTAAATTTGTTTCCTATGATCTCAGCAGAAGGTGCTGTGTTAGTGTGTAAGCCCTGGTCCCCAAGAACACAGCCATCTCCCCTGACTGCGGAGGAATTTAGGCACGTGGGGCTCACAGCAGCTGTCCTCTCCGCACACACACAGAAGGAAGAACAGAACTACGTTGACAGGTTCCGGGAGAGGATCCTAACCTCACCCTACAGTTGTTACCTTCAGCAGGAGAGCAGAAACAACGCTAAGTGCTCTTCTGTTCAAGGTAGTTATGTTTTAGAGCACATCCCTTTCACCTTTGAACTGTTGTAAATCATATCCAGGTTGAACTGTTCTCCTTTGTCAGTGGGAGATGGCCTCCAGGAAGGACTTCCTGACACACTGACACCCAAAGGCCTTCGTATCAAAGGGCATATTTGTGTATGACCTAGTCATGCCTTCCATGTCCTTTAACTTGTCTTTTATTTTACACTTAATGGAGTATACATTATTACATCTGGAGGGATAGTGGGAAGTCTGTACTTGGTCGTTTCTTTATGAATATTTTCAGTCTGTAGTTGGCCAGCAGGAGCTGCAGGTATGGCACCTGTGGCTGTACCAGGGAGAAGAGTGAACAGCAGGGGTTGGGTCCTGAAAGACTCTGAGATGCTGAAGTCACTTACTCCACAGTTTACCTGGGACCTTATTAGAGTCTGGATCTGAGAGCAGTTTCTATAGGAAACCTGCTAAGGTGCTGGAGTTAGTTTATCTTAGTGCACTAATTTTTACCTAAAATTTTTGTTGAGTTAGAACAACTTTTGGTGATTTTAAAAACAGTTACTATTGGTAAATACTTAATTCGTTAGAAAGTATTTAAAATCACCCACAATGACTTTCTCTTGGCTGTTACCTTTCTGTTCTTCATTGTCTCATCAGGCTCTCCTCCTAAGCAGAGCAGATGTGCTGGAAAGGAGAGACGGAAGCACAAACGGAAGAGGTTGCCGGTGCCTTTGGGCACCAGCAGCTCCAGTGCCAACTTCTGTTCCCATATCAGAGGACTCCTTCCTGATGTTCAGCCCTGGAGCCCCTCCATTGTCTGCTCTCCCCATGCTGAAAGCCTCGCTTTCCCCGCAGCACTAGTAGCTCCCAGCCAGGCCCCTTATGTTCTTTCATCTTTTCCCTTCCCAGATGTGGCCTCTCTGGGAGTAGGGGACTCTGCAGGCTGGGGAGCTGCTGTTGAATGCCCACCTCTGTCCACAGGCCCTCAGTCTGTTCCGGCTTTCCCTTCTGCCTACTTGGACACATTCACGACCATCTTCCTACACAACTCCCCCATCTTTCCTCTGTGGTCAGCGTCATTCCCCTCGTATCCATTCCTGGGGGCCACAGCTTCTTCTGGAATGACACCCTTAGTACCAGCAATGGCTCCACACCTGGAACCAACTTCTTCAGACCACAGCCAAAGGAGAGTGGGGGAAAGCTGGGAGACACACGGTGAAGAGCATCCATTTATCAGCTCAAGGAGCAGTTCGCCATTACAGTTAAATTTACTCCAGGAAGAGATGCCTGCACCGTCTGAATCTCCAGATCCAGTGAGAAAGGGCATTGGCCCAGAGTCTGAGTGTGTAAGTGTCAGTACATGAGTGAGTGAGAAAATCTGGGTCCTCTTACCAAGTCAAAGGCCCAACGCTGACGGCTTCATCACTAGTGGGTGACCCCCCTCACAGCTGTGGTTAGGACTAAGCCCCGCTCTGTGTAAGTGAGAATGTGTCCCTGTCCACCTGTGGGACAGAAATGAGAGTCTTCTGTTCTTGATTCTTGGGGAAGGTTTTCACAAATTCTGTATTGCAGAATTTTTATGTGTACTAGGTTTCCTCTACCTTTTAATTTTTGATATCCAGGTATTAAACTTAATATGTTCATTCTTGTCTGGCCTCTTGGGATACTCGGTCACCTATACACAACCCAGGAGACAGATTTTCATTTACTTTCAGTGAGGGCTGGGACTGCACTAATGTGCCACAGTGTGCAGGGAAGGTCAGGGGACAGTTCTGGGGCACTGGTTCTCTCCTTTCACCAGGGGGGTCTCAGAGTCACATTCACGGTCAGGGGACAGTTCTGGGGCACTGGTTCTGTCCTTACACCAGGTGCATCTCAGAGTCACATTCATTCAGGTCATGTGCCTTTACCCACTGAGCTAT